TTCTTCTTCTTCTTCTTCTTCTTCTTCTTCTTCTTCTTTCTCTCTCTCTCTCTTTCTCATACCCATCTGCTATGACTAAACACTTGAGGCCGCAGTGTTTCCATTCTCCAGTGGGATCCCCCTATGCCCTTGCTGCCTGCCACTGACAATTTTAACAGGAAGCCTGCAGGAGTCGCATTTCAGCCTTCTTCTTGCCTCACGTTGGGGCAGAAGAGTCCCCACCTACCCAACCCCCTCACAATAGTCAATTATCTCCTGATTGGAGGAGAAAGTCCCAGTCCAAGCAGGTATCCCATGGACAGTCAGAACTCTACGTTATCCTTGAAAACAGGACATAAAATCCAGGGGTCCTGTGATTGTGACTGGACTCTATAATTGCTGCCTTCTTTTTCTAGTGTTGCAGGGTCTGCAACCACAGAAAGGAGGCTTGGGGGGCAGTGAGGTGGCTCAATGGACAAAGAACCGGCCCTGGAGTCAGGAGGACCTGAGTTCAAATCCAGCCTCAGACACATAATACTCACTAGCTGTGTGACCCTGGGCAAATCACTTAACCCTATTGCCTAGCCCCCCCCCAACAAAAGAAAAGAAGAAAGAAGCCTTGTCCAACATAGAGGAAACTGGCATCCTCCAGCTTCTTCTCCATGCTAGGCAATATCCCAATCATTCCCCCTCCCTCCTAAAAACAAAAACAAAAACCCAGGACTCCCAAACCCACGTTATTCACCTGTCCCATCAGAAGAGATGCAGGGATAGAAATTGGGGTAGGAGAGGGAAAAGGAGAGAAGGGATAAGGAGAACCAAAGAAGGGGAAAGTGGGAAGGGAAGGGAAAGAGGCAGGTAGGGAGAATAAAAAGGGAGTGGGGAGGAAGAGGGAAAGTAGAGAGAGAAGGAGATCACTGGTAGGAGAGGGTCTTTTTCTACTACTTGCAGTGGTCTCCTAACCCATCAGGCTTCACAGAAAACCAGAGCCCTATTTCTCCCTACCCCTCACTGCCCTTGCCCCTCATAACCTCCACATCTTTCCTCACTACTTATCCACAACTCATCTGCAACCCTGATCTTTGACTATTCCCTCCAGATACCTTTCCTTTCTCCTCTCATATATGTATCCAAAAATCTAAGATAGGAGATTATCCCACTGTCACTGTCCATGGGAGGAGACCTTGTTAAAGGCCCTGCTATCCTCTCTTCCCCTCTCCATGTTCCGTCTCCTCAAAATCTCTTCCCTCTCTGCACCAGACAAGAGAGGAGTCAGCCCATGGAGCAGTCACCCTGGGGGATAAATCCTGCCTTCCAGACAGAGGTTGCCCTAGGCCAAGAGATGAAGGGGAAGAAGAAAGTGTAAAGTTGGGAATCCACCCCCCCCCAACATCCCCCAGAGACCCAGACAAGATCAAAGCTAGCGCCCCCAGATCAAGACAGAGATCTGCATGGAAACACATCAGCAAGAACAGGTCCCTCCCTGACTCTGCTGTCTTTGAAAGTGGTAAAAAAAAAATAAAGTAATTTTATAGGACCCTGGCTCCAGATCTGTTGTATTGCAGCTGACCCTGACACCAGTCTAGGGTTAAAGTGTTGCTTACTGTATCTGCTTTTTAGAAAACAAAATTTATCCAAGAGAGGGATGGAAAAGGCTGCCTTTTAGGTGGTCACAGTCATTTACACAGTGTGCTGGGCTCCTCAGATCGGCTCAAAATGGTCAATGAGGCCCAGGTTGTACAGGTTGAGGATGGAATCAGCTATGATCCGTGCTGTATGTTTCTGGTAGCCTCCTGAGGTCACCATGAAGATAGGTATATTCTGGCTTCGGGCAGCCCGGAACACCAGCTCATCTCTCTTGATGATGCCCTGTAGAGGTATGGGCAGGAGAAGGTCTGACATTATTTGGGATAGGGAACTCGACTCAGGAGAAGGCCCCAGAAAGATTAGACAGATGGGGAAAGCCTGTTTTGGCAATAGTTAGGTCACGATTAAGGAGAGGTTCTAGTCATGAACTTCGGCCTTCCTCCCCACCCCACCCCAGACCCTCAAGCCTATATTCCTTTGAGGTCACATTTGCTTAACTCTTGGCCTATTTTTCTCATGGGTAAAAGGAGAAGTTGGATGAGATGACGTTGAAGTTTCCTTGAAGTTCTAAGATTTATGGTCATATGGGCAAAGCCCTCCATGCCACAGGCTCCATAAGAATCCACCCTCCATTCCAAATCCCCTCAGGGCCCAGGACACTCTGCCCTTTCCAGCCTGAAATACATATCCCTTCACTCCCCGGTGATCTCCTGGCTAACTTTCACCCAGGCCAGAAGCCAAACGCTGTATGACAACCCTCTCACCCTATGAATTTCTGCCCTGGGGTCCTCTGTTCTGATGGGTGGGATTGCCTCTGTCACTCATTACATCTAGGCCTAAATCCAGCCACACTTCACCTGATGGCTATCTCCTTACCAGCCACTATGTCCTCCACCCCTACCCCCTTTCCAGTTCTGAAACCATAAACAAATCAACTCTTGTCATTACCCTTAGAGAGAGTCAATTTACTCCCTTTCAGCTTCATTCACCATCCCAGTAACTTGCCAAATCAAAATATCCCTCCCAGACCTTATGGGTGTTGTCTCCTTCATAAAAATGTCAGTCAGTCAATAATCAATCAATCAATTAACATTTATCAAGCACCTACTATGTGCTAAGTGTCAGGGAAACAAAAAAGACAGTCCCCGGCCTCAAGGAAACAAGTGAGAGAAACAACATGTAGAAATAACCATGTATATACATTACATATATATTAAATATATCATGTGTGCATGCATTTATGTATGTATGTATACACATACATCTACAATGCGAGCAGAGACATCCCAGATGGTGACCTTCTGGGAGGTCTCTCTGTTGTGCCGAGGTCTCTCGAGAGAGAGAGGGCATTAAGAGAAGGTATACTCCGAGGGAAGGTATAGGGGTAGGGGTCATGTTACAGAAGGGAGGCTTTTTATAGAAAGTGAGATTTGAGCTGATTCTCGAAGGAGGGTCAGGGAAGCCAGGAATCAGAGGTGAAGAGACAGAACATTTCAAGCGTGGGGCACAGCAACTGAAAACACATAGAAGGTCATTAGCAAATAGGCCAAGGCAGCCGGATTGTCAAGAATACAGAGGGGAATGATGTGTAAGAAGTTGGGAAAGGTGAGAAGGGGCCAAGCTGTGAAGGGCTTTCAGTGCCAAAAAGATTTTAAATTTGATCCTGCGAGGAATAGGGAGCCACTGGAATGTATTGAGTAGGGGGGTATGTGACCTAGTCATCACTTTGGCAGCTGAGTGGAGGGGAGGCTGGACTGTGGTCAGAGGATCCAAGTTCCCTGAGGAAGTGCTGTTTTTACTTTTGTATGTGTATTCTCACCATTCAGTCCAGTGCTCAGCACATTAAATGCTTATTCATTCATTCATTCATTCCTCCCTGGCAGAAAGCTCTTTCTTGAACTTAACCCCAGAATTTCCCACTGTTGTTTAAGCCCCATAACTTCCCCCTAATCCTCAGGGAACATGGCTGATGCCCAGGGACCATTCAGAGCCTCTCCATTTCCAGGTGGCTTCTAACAGGAGCAGAGCAGTTTGAACCCAAGCCCAGAGAGCTGGACTCACCTCGGCAGACACAGAGAGACCTCCCAGAGGGTCACCATCCAGGATGTCTGTGCCCGCATTGTAGATTATCACATCAGGCTCATGATCATTCAGCGCCCCCTTCACATGCTCATCCACCTTCATCAGGTAGTCTTGATCTCCTGTCCCCCACTCCAGCTCAACCTTCCGCTTGATGGCACCTAAAAGTTAGGGAGAGGCTTTAGCAGAGGCCGGGACCACAATCATCTCCACAAGGTGCCTGGCTGGTGGACTCCTAGCAGAGACTACAGTGGATTGGAGTCTTGCCAAGCAGAAAAATGTCCAGGTAGCAAAGACGTACCTCTGGCACCCTTCGCCTTCCACCTCAACTCAAGTCTCTTGGTATCTTCACTCCGACCCTTCTCTGGTATCCCACCGGGTCTCCTGATTCCCAGGCACCCATGCCCACCTTTCTTTGGCCCTCTGCTCAGCAAAATTCACCTGTCCTATGGCCTGTACCCTCAGGGCCCTGCCCTCTGATAGAGAAAAGAAGGTGAGGAGATGCCATAAAGAGGCACCATGAAGCCAGAAGGTAAGAGTTCAGATGTGACACGGTACAAGGAGAGATGGGCATGAGTCTGAAGGTGGGGATCTAGCTCAGCCATTTAATCACTTTTTAGGGCCTCAGTTTCCTCCTTTGTAAAATTAAGGGTTTGGACTGGATGAACTCCAAGGTTCCTTCTAGCTCTGATATAGTCTGTGTGTCAGTAGCAGTAGGGGGAAAGGGAAGAGAAGGGAATAAGCATTTACATAGCACCTATTAGGCTCTGTGCAAAGCACTTTTTACAAATATTCTCATTTGATCTTCATAACAACCCTGGAAGGTAAGTGCTATGATGATCCCCCTTTTGCAGTTGAGGAAACTGAGGCAGACAGAGGGTAGGTGACTTGCCCAGGGTCACACAGCTAGGAAATGTCTAAGGCCAGGTTTGAACTCATGACTCCAGACCCAACACTCTATTCACTGTGCCACCAGCTTCCTTAGCAGGGTGGAGACGTAGCTTAGTATAATAGAGAGACTGGACTTGTGAGTCAGAAAAACTTGGGTTCAAATCCTTCCTCAGATACTTCCTAGCAGGGTGGCCCTGGACAAGTCACTTTACTTCTGTTTGCCTCAATTTCCTCATTGGTAAAATGGAGCTAATAGTAGCACCTACCTCAGGGAGCTGTTGTGAAGATTAAATACAATAAAATATGTAATTGAAGCATGCCAGAAAGAACACTGGATTTTCAGTCAAAGGACCTGGGTTCCAGTATGAGCTCTGCTACTTACTACCATGTGACCTTGGGCAAGTCTCTTCTCCCCGGGGCCCTCGTTTCCACATCTATAAAGTGAGGAGATGGGACTGAAGGATCTCTAGGGCCCATCCCAGCTCCAAATCCTATCGTTTCATAGATGGTAAAGCTAAAAAGTCAGGCCCAGTCAGCACAACCAAACCGAGGTGTATCAGCTGGAATTGCTCCCAGAAGAAGGCCTGGGAATGGCTCCCAGCTTACTATCCCAAAAGATGTTCTGGAACAACATAATAAGGAGGTGGAGGAAGTTACACTGGTCCTCCAATTCTCTTTTTTTCTTCAGGGAGTTGTAAAACATCATAAAAGATCCAAGAACTAGGGCTGGATGATAAACAAAGACCATCCCTGAGATGTAAACATCACCTTATAAATACTCCTTACCTACAATACACTCATGTAAACGAAAGGGGAATGATCCAGAAGAGGGAATGGAGAAAAGAGATTTTCTTCTAAGATGCAGCTGTAGTGGAGGGGGAAGTATGCTCTCCACTTCCCAGATTCCCAAATGAACTTAAGACACATTCTCCCACATAAACAACGGGTAACTGCAGCAGGGTCAATCAAGGATTTCATTTATATGATGGGCTAGACAGGCCTCTAGGGGACCTGAATAGCTCCTCTATCATTATTCCCATGGGAAAATGAATTTGGAGTCCCAGACAACTGGCCTACAAATGATCTCTCACAGCCCAACCCAACTGGGTACATGTGTTTGTAGGGGCATAGGGGAGAGGGTGCCTGGATGTTCATATTTATGAATTTAAAAAATATATATTGGTTTCTTTCCCAAGCACATTTTGACATTGCCACCTTACACCTCATCCACAAGGAAATCACCCCCCGGGGCCACCAATCTAACAATTTAAAAGACTCACGTTTAGCAAAACCATCCCCTGGGTAAATGTTGCGGTTATAGATATCCACAATGTACACTCGGCTGTCGTCCATGAAATCCCTCTCATGGCCATTTCCCTAGGGAAAACACACCACTAGTGATCCTCTTCTGGAAGACAATGTCAACATGCCAGCAATGCCAATGCCAGCCTGAAGAATGCCAAAAATGCATACTGTGCCAACCTCCCAGGGTTATTGTGAGAATCAGATGAAATGATGAGTGTAATCTGCTAAATGCTAAAGCTCTGTGCAAAGAGGAGCAGCTATCTGCACCATTGTCATCGTCATATCATTATTATTATGGATAGAGATTGGTCCTACAATTTTATTGGCATAGGGCACAAATAAGTACTTTTAACCCAGCACTGCTTTTGACTGTTGCCAGAAGGGAACGCCACACATTCCCTTGTATGTAGAGACTTTCAAAGATGGTGACCCCAAGCCTTCCTCCATCTCCCCTTATGACATTCAGTAGCATCTATCCCTGGGCAGCCGGATGCCCTCTGATACTGTGTGGGTGTGTGGGTAGGAGTGTATTTGTGTGGTGGCTGTACTATCGTGACAGTGCACACTGATAGGGAGGAAGAATCAAGGGGAGGCATGGACTGTTGAGACAGGACACTGATTCTGAGGTTTCCTTCCCACATAGGACAGGGGACCCACCTGGTGTGCATCCAGGTCAATAATGGTGGCTTTTGAGACTCCTTCTACTCGATCAAATAGAAACTGCTCAGGAGAGAGAAGGGAGAGAAAGGTGAAGCAGAGAAATCAACACCCACCAGGCAAATAACTGATTGTTCAAAATGCCCAGTAGTTCAAAGAACTCTTATATTTCATTACATCCTTGCCTTATAAGGCTCTTACCTAAGACCAAACTTCCTCTCCAAATAAGTGGCCATCACATTTCAGCGAGATATTCTATCTGCCAGGGGCTTCCCTTTGGGAGCTGAAAGAGGGCAGTTAGGGGAAAGACCCTCTGCTAACAGTTCACTGACAGAATGCAAAGTTGAATGTTGCAAACCCTTCGTATTCATAAGCCAGCTACCATTATGACTGTGGTGGTGGTGGTAGTTACCAGGTGTTTGCCCCTTCAGCCTACCCCAGGACTCAGTAAACACTCATATCCTAAGTTTGGTGCCCTCTTCAGCCTCTGGCTATACTCAGTGTAAGAGGAGAATGTATTCTCTGTCTCAGGTTAGGATCAAACCCAGAGTTTCAAAGAATTAAGAGTACATTCTTTCTGGGCTTTTTCCCCCTTTTGGGGGGGAAGGGGTCAGATTTGCCTTAGGCCCCCTTTCCTGTGTCTTTACCTCCATCCTCTTCTCAGTCAGTTTATGTCCACCACTTCTTAAGGCCTGGCTCACTGTTGTGGTTCAGTGGAAAGAGTGCTGGCCTTGGACTCCTCAGAGTACTGGGTTCTGGTTGGACCACCTTTGGACTAGATGACCTCTAAGGTCATTTTTGGTTCCAAGTCCTGTGATCCAGATGGTCTACCTCCCATGTGTCTTTCACTTAAAGGCATCATCGCCATAGGTCTTACCTTGATAGAGAGTGTGATATCAGCATAGACACAAAATCCCCCTCCCTTGTCACTGGAGCAGTGATGGAACCCACCGCCTGCAAGGAAAAGAAACCATTCCAATGGTGTTTCTCTTCAGCGCCCTTGTCCCCTCTTGTCAGACAATATCCCTCCCTCCCCTACCAGCTCTGACTCCCTAGTACCTCAACTCCAGATAAGGGTGAAAGGAAGGAAGGGTGAAAGTCTATTCTAGTCACTCTCTTGCAGTCTCCTCATCCCTTTCCAAGATCCTCTCCTCTCTAAATGGCATGGCCAAGTTCCAATCTTCCAGGAACTTAATGGTCCATGAAAAAGAAAACCTGCATAAGGTCATGGCAAATGACCTGCCACAATCTGGTTTTCCTAAGCTATCCTAGCAGTCAGTCAATAAACATTGACTAGGCACCTACTATGTTCCAGGAACTATGGTGAGCATCGGGGTTACAAAAAAGGCAAGAAATAGTCCCTGCTCTCAGGAAGCTCCCATTCTAAGTTCGAGAGCCGATATGCAAATTACTATGTACAAACAAGATACGGAGATATAAATAGATAGACACAGACATATAATATGTATTTACATATGCATATGTATGTATGTGTGTATATGTGTATGTATACATAGTGCAAATGGAAGAGACTGTCAGAGGAAGAAGAGGCATTAGCACAAGCTAGTGGTGGGGGCAATCCTCACTTTGGGCTGTTCCCCAGTGCAGACTACCCCATCCAGGCCAGTCTCCTACCTTATGCTAGATTTTCTACCACTAGCCCTTTTGCACACTATTCTTCGCTTTTCCCATTCCCAAGTGACCACTGGTAACTTGCCTTATTCCCAACTTCAGAATAATAAAGTATTCAAGTTGGAGGGCAGAGAAGCATTGATTAGAAGCTGCAAGGGGCCTTAGGGACCACCTACCCCAGCCTCTTCCTATTACAGATCAATAACTTCATCAAGGGTGGTGACTTTTATTCACGTTTCCCATCCTTCAAAGCCTAGCTCAAGCAGTGCCTTCTGCATAATGCATTTTCTGACTACTCCAGCACCCACTGAGCTCTGTCTTCCTCTACCTCCCATCACATACATAGTCTGTATCATGCAATCCAACACTGACATTGTCTGAGGATCTTGTCTGTCCAACAGAGAAGCTTCAAAGGAGGGCTTATGTCTTTTCCATCCCCGGTGGCACAGTTGAACAAAAAGCTGATTATACAGCAGATGCTCTAAAAACACTTGCTTAAATGCTTTCCTTTCTGGCAGGCTGGCCCCCTTCACACACTCTACAATCCAGTCAAATTGCCTTTGTGGATGCTACTCAAACAGGACACTCCATCTCCCATCATCTCTCAACTCCCATCTGTCTGCCTTTGCACCAGCTGTCCTACAAACCTGAAATATCCTCCCACCTCATCAACACCTCTTGGAATCCTGAATTTCCAGCTGAATTCCAAGATTCAGTGCAATGACCACCTTCTAAATGAAATCTTTCCTTATCCCACCAATTTTTAGTGCCTTTCTCACCAAACCTACCTTTTATCTATTTCATCTGTGCCTAGATATATAAATGCTGTTAACTGTAAGTTCCTTAAGACAAGGGGCTCTTTTATCCTGGTCTCTGGATTCTTAGAGATCCATGGTGTCTAGCACACTGCCTGGCACATAGCAGGTGCTTAAGAAATGGTGTTGGTTGAGTGGTTGATGGGGCAGACAGCCCATCACTTAACATAGTTGGAGTAGGACAACCAGGAGACATGTGGCCGCTGGGGCAGAAGGATTTGCTCAAGTCTGCCTCCTTCACCCAATCACTGTGACGAGGGTAGAGGAGAAAGATTCTCACCCAGGTGCTGATGCTGTGAATCCCAGATTTCAAGCTTGCAGCCCAAGCTCTGAAGACCTAATCAGGCAATAATGGGCAGACAAAGTACACCCCCTGGTGGCCCCATTGATCTACAGCAGCGTTGCTAGCCACTTAGCCCAAAGGGCAGCTGCGCATGCCCAGGAGATCAGAGCCACTGACTTCCCAGCTTTCTGGCCAGGGCCAGAAAAAAAAAAGAATCAAATCAGTCCCAAATCTTCTCCCTTCCTCCCCATCTTCCTTTTGCCTAGTGGAAATGATAATAACAATAATGATAACTTCATATTTATATAGTGCTTCAGTGTTTACAAAGAGCACTGACTGTGAGTGAAGGCTTGGACAGTATGGAAACATTCACTTCACCTCTCTCTAAGCCTCAGTTTCTGCCCCTGTAAAATGGGAATATCAGCATCACCAACCTCACAGGAGTGTTGTATGGAAAACACTCCAGTAAACTGCTACATAAATTGAGTTCATTATTATTAAGAATAATAATAATGTTCAGGATAATAAAAGACTTATATAAATTGAGCTCATTATTAAGAATAATAACAGGATAACAGAAGACTGCTATATAAATTGATTTCATTATTATAAATAATAGTAATACTAATGCTCAGAATAACAAAAGACAAGCTATTGCAGTCCTGGTTTTAAGGATTGAATAATGAATTGAATCATCAAACACCCTTCCGCCTTTGAGGGAGGGCAAAAAGATGTTCAATCAACCTGCCAAGTTTTAAAAAGGTTATTATTGTTCTTCAGTAGTTTTCAATTATGTCTGATGCCATGTGACCCCATTTGAGCTTTTCTTGGCAAAGATACTGGAGCTCATTTTACAGAAGAGGAAACTGAGACAAACAGGGTTAAGTGACTTGCCCAGGGTCACACAGCTAGTAAGTATCTAAAGCCAGATATTTAAAGATCCAGATACAGAAAAAAGGGGAGGAGGAGAAACACTTATATGTGCATTTCACACATTTCATATGTGCATTCATCAAGCATTTAGTTGGTGTTACTATGTGAGGTTTTAACACAGAAAAGACACTGACTGGGAGTCAGAGAGGGTGAGTTCAAACTCAGACTCTTCTACTTGTGTCCTGCATGATGTGAAGAGATGAAGCCTCCCTTCTCTGGCCCTCACTTCCATATCTGTAAATGAGAGGGATGGACAACATGCTCGGTAAGATCCAGTTCTGAACCCCACATCCTAGGCAAAGCACAGAGCTAGACACTGGGGAGCTGGGTGGTTTAGTGGCTAGACTATCGAACTTGGAGTCAAGAAGACCTGAGGTCAAAACCTGCCTCAGACACTTCTTAGCTACGTGTGATCCTGGGGAAGTCACTTAATTTCTCTCGGTATCCATGACCTTACAGCTGTAACTGGGATAATGAATCAAACAAGATAACACGGAAAGGACTGTACCCCTTAAAGTGCTATATAAATGCTATATTAATAGTCTGAAACTCTATTGCAATACTGCCACGTTAAACTTAGCTCTGAATTCTACACTTCTGTTTAATTTTGTCCCTTTTTACATTCGTTCAGGGTTTGGTAGAGTAAAAAGTTCTCTTTGGCCCTAAAATGTGTTTCTAGTTGACCTGATTTAGGCCAAGGAAGAGATGCCTCTCCTGGATGTAAAGAAAGCCAGAGAGAAGCTGATGACAGTGTTTGTTTGGGGAGATCCTTATAACCCTGCAGGGGCTCAGAGTCTCCCAAGTAAAGGTCACCCAGAAATGTGGTTAGGGTCTAATGCTTTCCAGAGTCCCTCTCTGATGATGACAACAGAGTCATCAAGTCAACAAATGTAATTGCAGTTCTTGAGAAGTAAAGATAAGAGAAGCCTAAGAGACGCATGATATTAATCAAGACACGATATTAATTAATTAGCTTAGCCTGCCCCCACAGTTCATCTTCTTCTGCCTGCTTATACAACCTGATGAATTCTTTCCAGAGCAAAAATTCAATCCTAATGTCTGAGGAAGAAGGGACAGGAGTTTCAACCCTAATGTCCGAGTAAGAAGGGACAGGAGTTTCAGGCTCCTCCAGTAAGAAATTTCAAATAAGTTAGTGACAACAGATCAGTACAGCTTCCCAGTGGTGAAGCCCCGACCCAGCAATGGGATTAAAACAAGAGACCAGCCCAAGTTCCAGACCAAATCACCAGAGCTGCCGCCAGTTTCGCAGGCTGGAATGACTACCTTCGCTGGAGAGATGGAGTTGATGACAAGAGCAGGCTTCCCCTGTGACAACTGCCACCAAGCGCATCCTTGGCAACCACCTTCATCATCTGCCCCTCTGGAGTTGGTGTGGCTTCCCCAGCCTCCCTTAAGTCTACTCTTCCAGAAGTCAGACAATCATTAAGCATTTATTAAGTAGTTACTTAATATGCCAGGCAGCGTACCAATAAGCATTGTAGATACATGAAAATAACTACTCATATACAAGATACATACTATATAAATGGAAGGTCATGTCAGAATGAAGACATGAAAGGAGGGGTGAAGGCTGGGAAAGAGCTCCTACAAAAGGTGGGATTTGAGATGAGTCTTGAAGGAAGTGGAGAGTTGGAGGTGAGGAAGGGGTGTCTTCCAGGTATGGGGGGCAGCCAGTGAAAAGGCATGGGAGTCATATGTACATGTAGACCATCAGGGTAGATGAATTGTTCAGTACATGAAGGGGAGGAAAGTGTGAGAAAATTCAAAAGATAGGAGGGGGACAGGCTGGGAAGGGCTTTAAAAGTCAAATTTTATATTTACATTTTATATTTGAACCTAGAAGTAATAGAGAACTATTTCAGTTTATTGAATAGGAGCAGGGAGAAGGTGATACAGTCGAACCTCCACTTTAGGAAAATCACTTTGGCAGGTAGGGGAAGGATGGATTAGAGTGAAGCCAGAAGAGAAGCAGAGAGACCAACCAGCAGGCTACTATAACTATTGCAGAGATCAGCCATGAGGGGATGAGAGCCTGCAGCAGGGCAGGGGGCATAGACAGAGATGTGGTGAAGGTTGGCATGATGAGACACTTGGCAAGAAATGAGCCACGTGGACTGAGTGTAAGTGAGATGAGGATGGCACTAAGGACCCTCGACTGAACAGGAGGGGCTTTCTTAACAGACCAGAAAAATATTGTGGTTTCAAGTCTAAGAAAGAAAGAGCTTCATCCTTCTCCACCTCTCTGTG